TGCAATTGCCAACATTTTTATTGGTGTATTTTATAACTTTTAACACAGTTTTTTAACATAAAAATGTGCTTAAACTAAAAAATTATAGTTTTAGGTGCTTATTAAAAATTTCAAAAAAAATTCTTTACGTACAATTAAAAAACTATTGAAACTATTACATTGATACTTGTATCTGGCAAAATTATTTTAAATTTAATTGTTCTTTTATAACATGAGTCCTACATATGTACTCGTACGCTGTGTACAATGCTCACTCGTATATCTTAAATGATTAAAACTGATTAAAAAGAACATGTGTCGGACAAACGTGTAACACAAAATTCCCAGCCACTTCAACAATGAAAACTTTTATTGTCAATATCAATCCACGGCAGTGTCATACTTTTAATTCATGTACCAACTCGTGTTGATGCAAAAGTCCAACTGCGGTTGTGGTTACCACAACATTTAACCAGGTTGATAATAATGACAATAAATGAATTTGCAGTCTCCAACATGCAGACAATTTGTTTGACATTAATTTGTTGTTGTTTGTTAGAAATTAACAAGAAAAACATAAAAACATTAACCACAACAGAACAATAGAAGACTTTATTTTGAATCTGTGCAGCATCAAAAAATATTGAAAAAATATCTTATTTTGACATAATTATATATTTATAAGACAATAATTTTACTATAACATATAAATGTTATTGTTTGTTTATAAACAAATTAAGTACATAGATATATTGAAAACGATTTTGTAATCTAAATTTAGAACATATACTAAATGATCTTATTGTCTAATAACATATGACTGCTGTTGTTACAATAGGGACCATAAGAACTGCACTATGTTTATGGTATATCGACTGATTAAACACATTTCTGAACCATTGGCTTGTAAGCTAGATTTGCGACCTCACTGACATATCGACAAATATTGAATACATGATTCATGATACAACTTTCAATAAGAAAAACGAAAAGAAACCAGAAGTCATAATTTTTTTAAAAAATATTTATTTCTCTTCAATGTTTATTCTGTCCCCCTTAACGTAATGTCTCTTTCATATTATACACCTATGGCACCATTCTTTCAAGATTCAATATTACTATTTTGACCTAGATATTGTTCAGAGATTGCTCTAAGAGTTCGTATTTATCTCATCTATTGTTGTAAAATGTTGTTCCTTCAGAGTGTTTTTAAGTTTTGGATATATAAAAGATGAATGAAAAAAGATGAATAGTGATATATCATGAAAACAGAATGGAATGCCATATAATTTTTCTTTAATTAGCAAACACAATCTATTTAGTTTTTTCAAAGTTTTCATCATCTAAGCAACGCAGGTGATGTTTCGTATAGCGATGATAATTTAAAACTTCTTTTTACTTTTTGATTTCATCCCGTTTTATCGTCTGTTTTGCTGACTTCCAAAGGATAGACTCGCGAAAATATCTATTTGTCATTTACAAGACTACTAACCTAAACTCTGTTTCTTGTAAAAGTTAAAAGGATTAATTATAAATAGAAATAATTGAAAACAACATTGAACATAGTTATCGGTCCGCAGTGTCATTGCTGGAAATTGTAGAAGAGTTGACAATTAAGTACTTTATTGTCAGAGAAGATTAAGATATTAAACGTAATTGTGTAGTAATGTCTATTGTGCAGAGACAACCATGCAATCATTACTATACTTATAAACGTAGGGATGATGTTAATATAGTAACGCCATATGCCAGTCTTCACATATTGAGATAACTGAAGGAAATAATCTATATGAGGTTCAGGATATAATGAAATAGTGAAATATCGTAATTTACTTAAGTACACAGTACTATTTCTCTATTACAATAAAAATAAATAAGTATCTCCTTATTTTCTTCCAAAAATCTTATCATATATAAACCAATTGCATTAGAATAGAGCTATTCGCAATAGAAACACGTTTTTCACATACCAAGGTAACGGTAATTCTGAGTAAATATATCAATAGGAAACATATATTAACAACTTTTATCTGATTTCATCTGTTTATCTTTAGCTTTATGTCCGTTACTGTTATTGATAGTATATCTTTCAATACATGCGATTAGATTGAAAGTTATTAGTGGTAATTGCTAAAACTTCTCATGATAAGAACTCAAAGGAATGGCCTTGGTAGACTGACACAAAATCTTTATTCTTAGTTTAATGCAATTAGCTTAGAAGCTAAGTAGTATTGTATAGCTTTGGTTTTTTCTATAATAAATGGTTGTAATGTCGAATATTTCGCTGCTTATGTACAATAAATTTTTTGTTTTGAGATCAAAGTTTAAAATCAATTTTTAAATTTTGTAGAAAATTATTTTATAATTGATTTATTAGCTTCACTTTCATGTTTTCTCATCTGGGTAATTCGACAATCAAACATGAAGAATTCGGTTTTTAATGATTTTTTTAAAAAAATTGAAAATAATTAACTTGTATTTTTCGAAACTTAAAGCTTGTTTTCAACTCTAACTTTTATTCTACAATTTTTATAAATTTTTATCCAGTGCACTAAGTCGTCGGGATTAAAAATACGTTCTAATTAAGTTGTCTTAATTTGATCGAAAATTGAGCAGTAACAGAAAATTGAAATAACAGAAAAAATCTTTATAATCTGTTTAAACTGTTTAACAAATAATATAAAAAAAAGATTTGGGATTCGTGTTATCTAAAACCTGACTAATTTTCGTTAAATCAATTAGATGAATTATTGCGTTTAATTCAACAAAAATATATTTATATATGTACCTTGATTGCATTATAAACAGCGTGACAAACTTATTATATCTTATATCATATATTATATCTTATTTATATCTCATGTACAACTTATACGTGAAAAGTATAAAAATACAATTGTCTGCAAACTTTTTCAAGTGTTACGAGAATAATTCTAAACAATGTTGGTTAAATAGTATCTACACTTTCTGCATAGCGTTGAGTTCACTTCCTTAATACATTTTCTCAAGAAATCTTAATAGAAGACCTATAAAATTATTGGCAAATAAATCGTAAATATTTGCTAATTAATCAAAAAAATATGACATTTTCCCCAACCATGAGACTGACAATATTTATGATTTTACATAAACAATTTGTACCACGAAAATATAGCAAAAAAAGATACAAAAGAAGATATAGCTACTCCACTTTACATAACAATAACACAGCAGTGCAGTTAGTGGTTGTTTAAGTTTAGTTTTTTGTAGTTAATATTGAAAGAAGTTTCAGCAAAATGGTCGGCAGTACTGAGTGCTGAAGAATGCTACAACTAATACTATTCAATATAAATGTATATTGTTTATGTTTACAGTTTTTAAAATTTGCTTTAAAGATTTCGAATAAGAATCACTCTTAACTCGCACTACTTTATATTTTTATATTTTTCTTATAATACTTCAGTTTTTAAAAGATTTTTCTTATGTTATATTCGCTTTATAAATCTTTTATATTTTAACAGATATCATAAAACCAGAATATCATAAAAACTAAAATGTTTTATGAAACCTACTTTTAAAAATCTGAATTTCTTTATTTTCAGGTGCAGCCAATTATAAAACACAATTAGTGTTTTCAGAAAAAGGCATCATTGGACCTTGTTTTATTAAAAAAAGAGACCACGAAAAGCAAAACAAATGTTTACGATTAGAGAGCCACTGTATCAAATAGGAAAAATGAAATGCATTGTTTACGGATGCATTTGTAGAACTAATTGATATTGTTTTCGAAATTTTATAGTAGTTATGTTCGCTCAAAAACGAATTTGATAGCATTAAAAAAAACAAAAAAGATTACTTTATATTATATTGCTAATCGCTAATAATGGCACACCGGAATAGAAAAAATATTGGGATTTATATAAGCACTATGTGACAATACTGTGGAAGTTATTCCACTTACAAATAATTATAGCCGAAGGAACTGTAGAACATTAATTGGTGTATTGATAAGTCACTGTCTGGTCACATCAGATGCGCAGAAACTAAAGCTAATTCGCAGCGAAGCTGGATGCAAAGGAAATCCTAGGGCATCTGCTGTAAAACTACCCTGCTCTCTCGAAAACTTAACAAAAATACTTGGGGGTTGTTTTACCGAATTGGGGCATATACCTGAGGTTTCTGCTAAAATCCTAATAAAATTCGCTAATAACACGCGCATCCTAAGCAATGCACACTATTGCTAAAAAGCTAAGACTCTGATCTGGTATCGCAATGGACCTTATTCGTCTACGCGTGGCCATTTTGGTCTGCCAGAAGTACTTAACTTAACAAATAATTATAAACCAATGTGTTACAATTAAAATTCTATAGGTTTTATATGTACATAAATAAATATTTTTTTAACATGTCGTATATGCCGAATGTACAACTCTAACTGTTGGGAACTACAATTCCACTAAATGTGGTATGAAGCAAGCATTATTTAGAGATAATTGTGACTCAATAAAAACGTGTAAAGTAGTGCACAATTAAGAAAGGAACACAGCTAATAAATAACTTTTTATATTGTTCATATTTTTTATATTAATAGAAATTCTATGCAAATAACGAAACGTTTATATATGCATGTTTCGTTGCAAAAAGTTATTATGATGGGAAAAGTAAACAGTATTTTTACTGTGTTTAGATCAAAAAGTATTATCACTGGGTAGACTCTGTTAATATGGAATCTATACAATAATTGCTTACTTTAGTATTATAATTAGTAGTAATGTTTTTTAAATGTTGAAATAACGTTGACCAAAAAACATGTTATTCTTTTAAACACTTTGTATGTGACTTATTTAGGTTAATTTTATAAAAACTTTATAAGATTTTATGAACATTAAATTTGTTTTTAACGTCAATATGAATGTGGTGACTATTTTACTTAATAGAAAATATATATTTCGAAACCCCTCTATTTTATGAATATTTTATAAAAAACTATTAGATATTAGGTTAGTAATATTTCATAATTAATTACAGTTGGATGCACTTACCTTATCAGGTTTTTTTTTAGAAGATGGTGACAAAAGTTTGGCTTCCTCTTCAGATGCCATGCGATTAAATTTGCGAGTAGCTTCTTTAACACTTATTGGATTATCACCAGCATCTACATCAGAACCAGAAACTTTGTCAACATTAGCACTATCTACTGAAGTACCAGAGGCACTTGATGAGAATGAAAATCGCGGTATATTTTCTTTATTACTTTGTGGATCTTCTGTTGACGCTTGGCGTGATATACTTTTAGCACGCGTTTCTACAACATTTTCATTAATACATTCCACAACTGGTTCTTGTTCCACTTTGTCACTTTTCAGTTTACGAGCTGCATCTATTTTAAGTACAGCAGTTTCAAATTCAGAAACACATTCACGATAATTTTCAGCATGTTCCTGCTCAATACCAACTCCACTGGCGTTGGTTGGTAACATATTTTGTGATTTGGATGTTGTCGGCGTTGTACCAACTTCAGGTGGTGGTATATACGGTGGAGGCTGTCGAAGTGGTGAAGCGATAACACTATCTGATATAATTGATATACCTCCTGGACTATTTGGTACCGGACTTAAAGCTGCAGCAGCAACAGCACGTTGTACAGCATCCTCAGTTGGACATTCATTCAAATATTTTTTACGTAGTATTAAATATTTTTGATTGTTTTCATTTTTAACTGTGGCCAAGATATTTACATAAGTTTTAAACTCTTTCCGTGCTTCACCTATAAAATGAAATAAAAATTATTAGAGGTGAGAGCAACAAGTGGAAGTTATTGCAAGTAATCGCAATGCGTTTACTTTAAATTCTGTTTTCAATTCTATTACACAAAACATTAACAACTGATTGCTGTTTTATTATTTATATTAGTTTCTAAATTATTAAACAAATAAACTTTTTGTTGTGGTTTCGTTTGTGACTCACTTTGTGTCTCTGGGTGCGTCAGAAAACGCTTAAAATGCTTCACCAATGCATGATTAGTTACTTTACAACCATTATCTATCATAAATTTACGTATTTCTATAACCGATAAACTTTGCGGAGCACTCATTTTTATTATTTTTTTTAGTAAAACGCAATCTGCTTTATTATTTTATCAAAACACAATCTTTCAACACAAAAGTATGACACACAAAGCAAAACAAACAAACGAAATGTCAAAATATTAGAGAACTGAAGCAGATGTGTACAGCGAGATATGCAAACTGTGTTAATGGACGTTTTTTCGATTCTTCTTTTATAAAATTTAAAATTTTGCTTTAAAATAATAGACTGTGCATATTTTGATAATTGTTTATAATTATTATACTAATAATTAATATATAATTATTATAGAATTTATTTATATTTAAATTTTATTTACAATATTAAATAGGTGCGCATTATAATATATATTGGAAAATTACATCATTTAAAGACATACATAAACTGATTATTTTGTTTTTATTTAAAGAGGAATAGTAATGTTCATGATTGTAGTGATGTTTTATTTATAATAAAAAAAGGAAACGAGTATGTATTATGTATGTATTCCTTAATATATATTAAGGAAACGAAATAAAATTTGATAATGAAATGAAAATAGGTATTAATTTTAAATAATTTCTACTAAATACTAAAATAAAACCTTTCTTTTTTTATAATAAAGAACTAATAATAACTGAAAAAAATAATTTTAAATTTAATAATAAATAGTTTTACTAGTTATTAAACTTATTCTGTATCAGAAAACCTACAACCAAAAAAGATTGACAAAGCAATTATATGAATATAAGTAATAACTTACTGTTATACTATTGTATAACAGAAAATAGTATAACAGTTTTTAGAATTAATAACAATAGTTAGGTTTGTTGCATGAGTTACTCGTAGTAAAACTCGTGTGAAACTCAAGTTAAGTACAAATTAAGAGCGTAACATAAATAATGACTAAAACGAAATTAACTTTTGTATGGGAAATCTATGATTAAACAACTAGATTTGTACTTTAATCTTAATGATGGCTTTAATCTACTTTTAATCTCACAATGTAAACGCAGTCTTACGTAAAGTTTGGTGAGAACAGCTACACATTTTGAAACACAAAACTGTAGAAATAGAAATTAAAAAATAAGAGCGCGATATACATTTTGCAATATTTTTAAAGATTATTTTAAACTAATTTATTTAAATTTATATTTGATTTAATTTTAGACATTAGAGTGCTGTTATATTTAGCTTCAATCAATACCACCCTACTGTTGGTAATTAAATTTAATTTAAAAATTTTAAATTGTTATTACAGACATAATGGACATAATCACCAACAACTTTTCTGCAATTGCAAAATGGTAAGATATTGTATTTACACATTGCAAATCGCAATTATTTAATAAAAAATTTAATAAGTAAATTGAGGTAAATAGTAAATTATGTCGGTATATCAGCGAATATTGGGGTTTACCAGAATATCGAGTTGGGTAAATTAGATAAGAATTAGGTAAATTAGACGTTACCATTGTGAAAATTTTATAACATGTTTAATAAATAAATAAATAAATTTGAAAAGTTTTAACTAAAAATAATAAATAAGTGCAATAAATAAATAAATAAATATTTGCATAAGTGCATTGCAAAAAATCCCTAGGAAATTTATTTACTTTACCTCAATTTACACGAATTCGCATACGGCCTTAATATTATTAATTTGTATTCTCTGAAACAAGAGTTGCTGGTATTTGCTAATTAATACATTAAAATATATATCACCAATATTTTTATCTAACAGTGTTGAACTTTAACGATTCTTCATAAGGTCAACTAAGAGTAATAAGGTCAACTAAGTTAACCTTAATTGGATTAGAGATGAGTGCTCTATTTTCATAACAGGATTTGTGTTATGTAAGAATATTTTTTTTATTTTTTTCACTTTCCATTGGCTTTTTATTTAATGAAACTACAAATAGTTTTCTTGCTATTCCATTTTACAACTGTGGCCTCTGATATATCAGTTATAGAGCTAATTATTAATTTTGACTTTACTCTTTTTTAAGCTTTTTTTAAGTTTCTTATTGCTTTCGTGAAATTCCATAAATATCTAAATATTTGTAAAGAATATACGAAATCAATAGATTCCAAAGTTGTATGATAGGAGAGAAATAATTTATCTCGTTCTGTTCGATCAGAAAATTACAAAACTCAACTGAGTTCAAAGCGTAATAAGTCTAAAATATTATTGAGTACGGTACTAGGACATCATGAGGATTAAATAGCTATGCAATCACCTCTGCTCTCAGCAGACGGACAATGACTTATTTCATTAAAACGTATATCCATCCGAAATTATTTTCTTATATTAACAATGCGCCCTAATTGGGCAACTACAATGGGTTGCGAAAAATCTAACAAACATGTAATATCCAAGCCACAAATTATGAAGAATGAAACTCGTTGCAGTGCTGATAAGCGATTGAAGAGAAAGCACCCTTATTGAAATATTATCTAATATAATTAGAAGTAAAAACGCTGAGTGAACGAAGAGGAAAAATAAACAGGTGAACACTTTCTATGCAAATTTCAAGAGTTGTCGAGATTCAAACATTCCATAGTGTATGTCTACGAACTAATGACAAAAAATCGCAGTCATTAACTTATTATTATGGACTGAAAAAATTATAATTTATTGAACCAGATATTACAAACCTTTTTAGTACAAAGTGTACTTAATTCTTCATTCCATTGCGTTATGATTCCTTAAAATACATTAAAAATAAATTCATACTCCTTAGATTAGGTTAATTTTAATGTTATTCATATTAATTTCGAAGAAAATTAATATCTTTGTATTTGAAATAACCTATACTTCTAAAATTTTTAATATTCAATATACGAGTATGGAAGATGAATTCTGTAGTAAACAGGATGTCGGCAAACACTTTTTGGACCTCTAAGGTCATAGACAGTTTTTTTCACATAAATAAAAGTAACGGCAATAAATCAAATTAATACAGAGAATGGTATACTGTTAAACTATGATTTTTAATCAAAAAATTGATTGAAAATGTCGATTGGTGATAGCAACTTTTGGTTTTTAGGTGACTTATATGGAACAAACCGTTTACAGACTTTTTGCTAGTCTAAATGTTTGACGAAAATTCGATGTTTATAATCAGTTGAAAAATGTATACGCCCGAGAAATCAAATTACACAATAAAAAATCCTTTGGACTCCACATTATGAGTGTAAATGTAATATAAACATTTCAATATCCTATTTTCTGTATATCAGACGCATATATTCATAAATCTATCCAAGATACATATATATTTATTAATGCTTATGTTATTCTTTATGGAAAATAACTTAAAAATTAAGTACAATACAATAAATATGTACAATACAAGTTAGAGTTAACCGCGTTATTTACAAAGAGACTTATCCCAAGCCTTTGTCGACTTTATATGTGAAACCTAAATAATTTTAACTATAGATAGGAAACTTAATATCATCCCGAGTTGGGCAAACCCAAATATTTAGACATTTTAATATTGAAACTAGAACAACAAATAAATAGAAATCCAACAGAACTTTTGGATAAAACAATTCAAATTTAAATTTATGCCTCCCTGAGCTTAATTTGCTTAGTTCTTTAATGTTAACCCTTCGAATAGAACTGGGCATAACAACCCCACAAATGGGTTCAATAAGTTTCTTGACACGCCTCCATAATTCGAAATTAAAACATGCAAAACACAACTCAGTCGAAAAGTGGAATTAATTCAATCCAAAGACTGGAGTTCAAATGTTTCCCATTTGGTGAATGACTGACTGGCGAGCAGAATCCGAAAGATTCTTTCTCATGTAAAATATTTATAAAATAAATAATTTTTATAAGAAACTAAAATGTTTGTGTGATGTGTGTGTATTTCGGATTTACCCGTAAATTTGTGTCAGCTTTGCCTTCAGAATATTCCAAATAAGAACTTTGAAAGCATTTATTTTTATTGTAAAACATTTACAAATTGTGCAAAATTTAATAAGTAAATTTTCGTTTGGAAGTTGTGGGTTAGGAAGGATGAATGCATTTGCACTTATGTTCATTTCGTTTGCAGCGTTTAGTTGTGTTAATCTCGTTTTCGATTTGCCACATGAGATTGTTTGTTGGAAATTGTCGAAATGTCGTCATTTATCATTTGCACTTTGAGTTCCCAGCTCCGTTTAGCTCCTGGTTGGAACCGAAGGATGACATTAGGCTGCTTTCAGTGCAATGTGGCATAAAATTCAAGTAAGATGTTCTTGCCACTTATGGTTGCAACAATAACGACAACATTGTTACCGAACGAACGCATTGATTGTATTTGTATCTTTCAGTTCAGTTTCATTTTAAGATGCAAATGTCATGTGTCGTCTCCGGAGTTGGCAGCTGTAGCAAATGCAAATGAATTATTAAAGTTTGCAATTACGCACAAGAGAATTTGGAATGAACACGTAAGAATGAGCACACATTTGTATCTATGGTAATTTATCCGTCGTAGACAAATGCCTATCGCATTCACTTGCGCCTCCAATCTGTACAGTTGCAGAACTATTGCTAGAAGTATTTACATTTTCGGAGTGGGAAAAAAGAACTTATTTATATTCTTAAATATTTTAGTGTAGCTGCTAAGAAGGAGGATATTTTTAATAAATAAAAATTTAGCTTAATAGGTGGGAATTTTGGGATAGGTGGGATTCAATGAATTATGTACGTACATTTTTTATTTATTTTTATGGCAATTGTGAAATAGAACTGAAATATTTATTTGAATGGAGATCTACATACTTTTGAAGATAGTACCTCGAATTTGGCAAAACTCATTATTAATCAGCAGTACTGGGTAATAAGTTATTCGAAGGACTTTTGTCAGAAGTCAGAATTTCTGATTTAATTTCAGATAATGTATTATTATTACTATTTATTATCATATTAATCTTATTTTGATATATATTCTTAACTTAATTTATAAAATTTATATTCTTATCAATAGGCGGAGAAGAAACACTTAGGCAATGGCAAATTTATTACGTTGAAATAAATGAACTGAAATAATTGCAATTAAAAATAACTATAGTTAATTAATTCAATTATTTTATAGCTGGCTTATGATTTCGTTCTAATATAATACATCTAGTGAATTTATTAACGAACTCTAACAGCAAATTAACAAAACTCTAAGGT